AAGAACATTGCTTACAAAGTGCAAAATATATGCCAAAAAAGTTCGTGACCACCCATGGAAATTCAACAAAACATCTTGGATTTCCGGCACGTTGGCATAGCCCGGATCTGTTTATATGTACTCAACAATATCGCAGTGAAAACCTATCAAAATGCAATAAGTTCATCAAATCTTCTACTATTGCAGCCTTGGAGCGTTTGACGTTCTTATTATTTACTTCTGTTGAGCGCAGGGCTTACCATAGTACTACCGAAGATGCCTGGGGCGGAGGATGTATAGCAGCAAGTAGCCCACTTTGGGATGCGCCCAGCATTCGACCCCCATTACAGTCGTTGTGACATTTGAATGGATATGTTGTATATCACACGCGTAGTCTAAGAGCCGAATCTCGGACCAAGGCCTTCTAAACTAACCAAGAATTCTCCCTCCTGGGTCGGTTGGTTGGTTCCAGACTCGTTTGAGAGGATAAAAGAACTGACTCGAAATTGGTTGGCTACCGCAACTGATTGAATAGGCTACATGCGCATTCAAAACGTCACAGCGATTTTGAATGGAAGTCGAATGCGGTGGCGCATCCTTAAGTGGCGTCGTGTCAACACCGAAGTTTTTCCTTCATCCTTTTAGAAAATTTCCACCATGAAGTTCAATAGAAGTTGGTGAAAATGCAGTTGGGGGATGAGAGATGCCACCCTCTGTTCTATTGGGCGTTAGAGCGTAAAGAAAAGGTGTGAACGAGTTTGACCTGGCTTACTTGCGGTTCTTAACCAAAGAAAGGAGTTTTGGGTAAAAAGCCATATTTTCTAAACTAAAAAAGGTTTTAAACACCATTATTGTCTCGCGAAGTAGGCTACCCCTCATGTACGTGNTATAGCCCCCAATGTTGGAAAAAATGGTGCCCATCCCAACTACATTTTCACCAAGAAGTTTTGGTGGAACAAACTGTAACTAGAAGTATGATTTTTGAAAAACTCTTCAATTAATAGCGATGGAGCTGTTGCTCACACTACACTAGAATTAAACTGTATTAACAAACATCGGCAACATGAAAATGAACGTTTGGTTAAGCATTATGTTTGAAAAGCTGGTATGTTGGAAGGGAAAGACCTTTCCTATAGATGCAGCGGATTCAAAAAGGAAGACCGGATTTTTGAAAGCCTCAGAGACCACTAAGCATTTATTCTAATAATCAGTGATACTGAAAAATCAAACTCTTCGACTTCGCGGATCCTTACTAGGCAGGTATTGCCAAAGGTGCAGGTTTTGTGAAATACACGTCACGTCAAGCTAGATGTAGTAAGAAACTGGTGTTTTTGAAACTTTGTAGATCACATTAAAATCACTATTATTAGATGTGAAATTGATTTCGTGTGAGTGGAAATGTATGAAAGGGAACGAAAAAACATGAAAATGAATGACAAATTTGTAGAAAACTCAAAATTATAGGTGAAGATGACGAAACCGCCAGAGGCAATCGAAGTAAATCTAGCAGTTATCGCTACAAAATTCAAACTCTTCGACCTCGCGCATCGCTACTGGAGCGTGCATTCGCAACGGGGCGCGTGAGCGACGCCGTCCTACGGCTGCGGACGTAACCGAGTGAAACCGAGGTATTTCTGCAGAAAGGGGGAAGTAGTGTGCCCGAGGAGAGGATCAAAGGTGAAAACATCATTGCGACATCTACCATGCCATTTTTTGGCTTAAACCTACGAGGAAACTTGTTCCCTTAGGGGGACGGGGGTGGGGCAGTCCACGTAGCTTCCTTAGCCGGTAGGAATCGAGGAGGGTGCCAGTGTAGATATCTTCCTCAGACTTGACTTCACAGTAGCAACCCATACTTTTGTCGAGGAAGTGCGAACTCAAGGTTAAATGATCCCTATGTTGAGGTGCTTTTCACGACATAGGTGTGAAGGTAAGGATGTTAGGTTTGGGAGGGGGGACAGGATTGAATTTTGATTAAAACGGGGAACGACCATCTAGTCGTTATGCCCCATACTCACAGATTTCGAGAAAGGCTTTCAGTTACCATATCACTCTCGGAGTTTTAAAAAAAGGCAAGCATCAGGCGCTACGCCTTCGCACTGCTCCACTGGTCCCGTAATGTGGGAGGTAATAGAGTTGGTGTAATGGACGCATAAAGCTATTCATCAAACAAAGCCTCACCACGAAGACAGAAGAAAAGATGATGGTGGAAAGAAAAAAGAATAAGGGAGGAATTTGGCAGTACTAGTAATCTTATGAACTGGATAGCCTTCATAGGGCCGTATGGGGGGACGGTCAAGTCGTGCGTCCCAGGGTGCGCGCGGCAAATTGCGCGGCGAAACCAATACCTATTCTGACGACTTTGGCGCCTATTATTTGGGCCCAATTTCGAAGTACAGTAGAAAAGTAGGATCAGCTGACCTTACTATAAAGTACGGGGTGAGCCTTCATAGCCTGGACCAATGCAAAAGGCTTCGCACCGAATTTTGCCCTTTCTTTCAAAACTGGTTATTTCGACTTGCTTCGATCCCTGTAGGTAGATAATAGCAATAGGGGTCCCTGTAGGTAGTTAACAGCAATAGGGATTTCTCAGTTGAGCATGAGTTCTTCCATAACCCGGGGTTCAGCGACAATCTAATATACATGATCTAAATGAAGAGGAGCTCTATACGTCAGACTCCAGTTTGCTTGATGTAAGTAGACCTGGGAGCTTTTTCTCCTTATTGAGAATGTAAAGATTTCTAACACAGATACTATCGAAACTCTACAGATTTTTATCGTAATGAAAACAAAATGCGGATCTTCTTTCACTGTGCTCACCTTGTTCACCTTACCCTCCCTCCTAAAATTTTTACCCGCAACAAATTGATTTTTCCTTATTTCTAGCTTGTAATTCATCTAACAGACTAACACGATGAGCACGCTACGCCCATTTTGTTGAACGCCCCACCCAGCAATGCTCTCACAGATTCATACTGGAACCTACCATAGAGCTCTGTCTAATTTATTCTTTTCTTTTGGTATCGATATACCTCTAGTATAAGCTCCCAATTTCTTGAAAGGAACAACCCATCTTGACCTTGCAACACCACACTTGAGGTAGGCACTGCGACTGTCGAGTGATAAGCGGACTAACAAACAGGTTAAGCTGCTAGTTTATATATAATATGACTCTGTATACAAAATGTAAATGTCACATGATGCAAGGGAAAAAATACAATCTTAAATATGCTGAGATACAATAAAGTAAAATCAATGGCATTCGATATCTTTTTGAAATGGAGGCGATCAAGGCGGCACTGTTATTTTCTCCTTGGACTTCAACAGAGCAGCTTGCTGTTGACACCGTGAGTAGGAGAGATTCAAGGTCTCGGTGACGTACCGCATCAATTCTTGGAACGCTTCAAAGAATTCGGTTTTCTCTTCTGGCTTTTCGAAGACCAGCTTGCCCAGTAACTGAAATTGTTCGAAAATAAATAATCAGATTGGGACAGCGAGGTTAGCCTGGTTTACTATCTCATGCAATCCCTCTTAATAATTGCATAAAGATTACTGACATAAGAAGCTCGTGGAATAGATAATAACAAGCACCAATTCACGAGGTCTTTACCAAAGCAAAAACAAGTAGTTTGAGGTCGAATGACCGCACTCTTCCCATCAAAAATTTTGTAGGCTGCCGCGACAACTAGCTAAACGAGACGCGGCATAGCGCTCTCTCATTGGTGGAACACCAGAATGGTTCGCGAACAGCTGACGATCCACCAATGAGAGGGGGTTCTGTCTTCCCATTTTCAGTGCGCCCAGTAAACCCACAGAGACATCAAGAACAATGCATCGATGCTTGTAAATAAACCCAAGAAAGAAAAAAAAANAAAAAAAAACGCATGAATACATATGCGCTTTCAGCGAGTTGTCGAGTGAGGGGTTCCTTTAATGTAAGTGGTCACTGAAATTTCGAAAATTTTAGTTATCAAGATTTGAAAAATTTCATTCAGGTCACTTTTTGATAGTGAATCACCCAGCTTTTCCTGTCCCGGGAATACAACTATTTAAAACTGAAACTAAAAAAATGAAATGAACTGAAAAAAACTGAACTGAAGAACAAAAAAATAAAAATTGAAACTAAAGTTTCTCACCGTTTCAAAATGTTGCCTCCATAAATCGAGAAAATGTGGCTTGAGACCGTATTCGGCATAACGGGCATGTATAACCCCTAATTGATAAGAGGCTTCGGAGACGACCAGGCTGTCTAGATTGTGCTCATGAATTATCCGCTCGAAGAAGTCGAACTGCGCTTGACTGCAAAAAACAAATCTTAATTGCGATGGAAGTACTTGTTTACTGTGAAGAGCACCCATAATCATTTGAATAGGGCATAAGTGTCAGGCTTTTACCCCTACATCGGGGTCCGCCCATTCGCCGTGAAAATTGACCGGCAAGAATTTCACGAGACATGCGGTTCTCCACCCTTCATTTCTATGGAAGCGCTGCAGATTGTAGTGTGGGAAGTGCCAAAGTATAATGTAAAGTATATGTACATGAAGGTTATATAACCCACGCATTACACCTTACCAATGACTCCTCCCGCTCGGATCCACCTTGTTTCACGCGCCTGGGATCCCGGATGATTTCGTTCATAATGGGCTGAGATGCGAGCTAGCCCCAGTACAGTTGCTTCTCTATGGGTTTGGCCCAGGGGTCAAGAACACGTAGAGAGGCCCTTTTCACAGGGGAAAGCAACCTTTCAGCACACGCCCAGTATAAATGCATATTCCACTGATGCCCCTTAATGCCACCTCCTTGTTCCCCTCAATTTGGGGCCTTTCGAAGGAATGGCATATTGTTAGTTTGTTCTCTAGATATCTGTTTCTCGTTTGAATTTGAAATCATTCAGAAAAATTTTAAAGATCAATAAATCATGATGAGGAAGCGGGGGAGAGAGCTCCGGGGAAGGGGGGGGGGGGGGGGGGNTTTTTTTAGGACAATCAGCTTCACTCCACATTGAATTTCATGAAGGTCAGTTCAGCGTACCTGAGTTTGTTAAGTTTCGGCCACTTCGTGAGGTCTCGAAAGCAATACATCTGGCACGCAATAATTTCATTTAGCTTTGGACTGGACTGTATACATAATAGCATAGTTTTATGGAAGATATCTGGCCGTTGTTCTGAAAGAAAATCTTTAAATTATTATACCAACGGACTTTGAAAAACCTGGCGAAATCTGGCACTAACAAACCGTCGGGTCAATTTTACTGTATAAAATTTGTTTGTCTGATTTTGTTAGTAACTTCGAAATGATTTGACATATTTAAAACTAATTGGTAAACGCGTCAGGCAAAAAGTATCAACAACAACAACCAACCAACCTTTTACCGTAGCCCGAAAATGTTTCTGTATAATAATCTTTTTATCTTCACTCATTTTGAACTGAGGAAAAGAGAACGTCGAAGTGGAACGGTTCGGCCTCTTTGAATCAGCTGAACCAGCTTTGGATGATCGAATGCTCTCGATTCTGAAGAGAATTATTGTATGAGTGGATAATTTAACAGCGCTTAGAAAAAAAAAACTAAGAAAAAGAAAAAAAGGAAAGGAAGGAAATTGGGGCTGCTTCAGTCACGCCGTGCAGGAGTAGCCAAAATATAGGTATTTTTCAAGATTGAAAGGAAAAATTTAATTCACTCAAAGTAGTAATCTGAGTGATCTCGGATTCAATTACGCAATTTATTCATTTTTTTCCTAAGAAAATCGTCATAATCGCGATGGAGTTTGAGAGGGGTGATAAAGAGGGGTCTCTGTGAAAGTCAAGTCATTTTAAAGTAAATGTCAATTAGAAAAATGTGGCCTCCACAATGAAGAACAGCAGACCCAGGGACGGAATGAGCACCAAAAAAGAAAAATTTTAGTAAAATAGTTCACTTGTGGATATTCTTTTCATAAGGGACGATATCGCTGCTACCACAAGTGCTGTGGAGACCACCCATGTAGCAAAATTGCGGACAAAAAACGTGGAGTTCAGTACTGGTTCAAGTCGATTGCAGGCCGATTTCGCGAAAGGATGCTCAACTCACTGAAATGTTCGGTATCATGAATGAACCACCAAGAACAAAAAGTATCATAAATGATCACGAAAAACTACCTAAAACAGTTACGAATACTATCTAGCCTATGACTAAAAAGTGGTTTCAATTAATACAATTTGCACGAGGAACAGGAAAAGGAAGGAAAAAAGGACAGAATCAATGCATAAATACAANTACCAGAAGGCTTTGAATTGAGTAAAGCCACGTGTGGCAACTTTATGCTCAAATTGGAATTCAGTAAGAGACTAAAGAACTCAGTATAAAAAATATAATCACAGCTTAAAAGTATTCGGATAAAAAAAAGGAAAAAAAAAGAATTGAATTCACAAAAGCCATCACTCAGACAAGCGAGGAAAGGTGGCAGTCAAAAAGGGTTGGCTAACCTGTATGTGCTTTGTTTTTCTCCACTTCATTGTCATATCATTTCAATTAAAAAAAATCAATACTGTGGAATATCTCAATATTAATATAAGAGTACAAACATAGTTTTTGAAGGACTCCTCGGAATAATCCTGGCTTTCGTGACTGTACTTCGATAGTTATGGGTACTCACTCTATTGGAAACACGCAACCATTCATTGTTCCTTCTGGGAAAAAAGTTTACGACAAAACCATCAGCAAATAAAACGATCACATCACGCTCTGCCCATAGACATTAATTATGCAAACCCTCACAAAAAAAGTTGTTATAAGAACAGCAAAATGATGCTTATTGATGGAGTCACTGGCAAGGATAAGACCCCTGTGGTTTCGCCCTGATGGCGAGAATATTAATAAAGTCCTGCACACAGAGAGCAAAGTGATGGATGTAATGAAGCACTGAGCCGACTCTGCTTCCTTGAGGGGGTTTTAGTCCTTCAGGCAGGACGGTGCTCCGACCCACAGAGTCAAGTTCGTCCGGGTGTGGTGCCGACACTTCCTGCCCGAGTTCATTAGCAAAGAAGGTTAGCCATCTTGCTTTCCAGATCTTAACCCGTTTGACTCCTCCTTTTAGCCCTGATCAGATGAGCATTTATCGGATTCGCACTCCGACTTTAGAGTCCTAGAAAGCAAGACTCAAGAACGGCTGGGGAGAAATGGGGGAAGACACCTGCATGCAAAATGCAAGGAGATCAAACTCGAGATCAAACTTTGGGCCTCAATCGGCGCCCATGGGGGATAGTTTGAAATATGATTGTAGCATGTTGTAGCTCATAATGTTAGCAAACGTGCAAGTGGATATTATTATATTTCTGTTGCATTCCATGTATATACAAATTACTTGATAATAGAAACTTTGCTCCAAATGAATCAGTTCATAATCAAATGAATTGACATTTGAATGCATGTTTTGCCCATGTAATTTCTATGAAGGAGCTATTCACTGTCTCAGGGCACAATACATCAGATAAAGTTTGATTAGAAGCTATACAGGTATGCTACGTGGAGGTTCAGTAGCTTAACATAAAGACGTCTTAAATGTTTGGAGTATGCTTGTAACAAGAACGATCTTTGATGGCGTATGAACGGTTATTTCGGTCAGAAGCTTTGTACTTCGTTAAAGCGAAATCAAGACATATGAGAATACAAGGTGAATTCTTATGCATAATGTCTATGGGATGCGCCGTGCCTTCGACTTTCATCCATGGTTGCGGATGTGTATGTGGCCTTTATAATGGCTCGCAGTGGCTAGCCAATTGCAAGTCAACGTTTGATCCTCTCAGACGGGTCTGGTACCAAGGAGTAGGCCCGGGAGGAATGGAGGGCCTAGTTGGCAAGTGTGGGTATCAACTAGATTCGATCTTAGAACCACAGATATGATAGTGGGCCATTTGGTGCTATTATTACCTATTTTTTCATAATTTTTTCACATTTAGGGAAGGACTACTAAATTTTACAACAGTATCGTGTTAATTTAGGATGACGTACTTATAGAAAAAGGCTGATATCATGTAGCTAAAAACCCTAATAAACTAGCCAGTAATCTAATTTTCTGCTAAGAAATCAGTGCGGTGAACGATAGAATCAGTAACTGCGGCGAGCAGCTGTTAGTTAACTTACAAATGATGTTTTTACAGGGCAGTAGTAACACATACCGAGATTGATGACCTATGTTTGCAGAGAAAGAGAATTATAACTATAATAACAGCAGTAACATGCATTAACATTACTAACACCACCAAAGTAATAAGCAAAACAAAAATGTCAAAGTGTCAATAAATGCAATAAAGTTTGTAAAAGTCCAACTTTCTTCGAGTAACTTTGAGCGTGAGTACGAGCATTTCAAAGTCAGAGCTTACAAGTTGTTATTTATTTGTTTTTCTTCTATGATTTTTTCTACTAGTTGCTTTGCGGTGTAGTGAAATCGTACCTAAAGAGACTTAGGAAGGAGGAGAAAGAGAAGGAGAAAGAGGAAGGGAAGGAGAAGAGAAAAGGAAAGAGAATGCGATAGAAACAGTAACAGACAGGGAAAGAGAAAGAAAAACAGGAAATTAATGCAAGATTCAAAGGTCTCTAAAGGACTTTGTAAGCGAGCATTGTGTTGAGCATAGCGTATTTTTTCAATTACAGTATAATTGACCTGTACTTCATGGTAATGCTCAGGCTGAACACCTTTACCAATTGATATAAGCGATACCTATAGCCCTCATTGTCCATTTTTCCTCTTTGACTAACGAGATCGGCACGGATTAAAATCTTTGAAAAAGCTTTAATGAGAACTGGATTAATGAAGTTGAACCTTAATTTGTGTAACTCATCAAGGACACTGCTTTCCAGTTATCAGGAATTATTTCATTTTCGGAATATGAACGGTGATGATCGAGATGGGACCGCACTACTTCATAAAAGAGACTGGAAACTTTCAAGCTCTTTCTAACGACAGATCGACCTCAGAAGGGAACGGCAGATCACCCTTCCAGGTAGGCCACCCTGACTTCTAAAGTTCTACGAAAGACCATAAAGCCTAGCACCGCACTAGCAAAAAGCAGGGCGAAAGGTACTTCCTGCGTGATGCCCCTTCGCTGAAGTGTGCCCCAAGATTATTAAGACAAGGGTAGAGGATATGAGAACGAAAGGCGACCTTCTTCCAAAGTAGTTTTTTCCCGCTGACCCTCTTCCATTCGAGCTCCGAGCAGCAAAGAAGCAGGAAGCGCGAGCTTCACCCTTTTTGTATTTCCCAACGTTGCCGTAATTACAGAGATATTAGTGAAAAACATTGAAACACTAGTTTCTTTTCAGAATTTCATAATTACAGCTTGTGGTTCTGTCACAACCCGTAGCTGTAATCGTAGCTGTAACAGCAAAGTACTTAAAAATTACGTGCTCTGCGCTACAATTCTCAGCCGCTCAAAAATTCCGTACCTGGTAGAGTCATTACGTCCACATGTACCCTTTTTCACTTCAATGTTGGTTGAAACTACATTTTTCTAGGGAGCTACGGAGAGTTCTATTCAAATGGCAGCAAGTATTTGAGAAAGAATTTTTTTCAGGTTAGGGAACCTTGAAGACCAAACAACCGTTCCTCAGCTATTCAACGACTATACTCAACATTGAGGTGGAAGCGCCCTCCTGTAAACTACCCGTCTGCTCCCTAATTATCAGAAGGAGTGGGTCCTGAAGCGATCTTCAAGAATTGGAGATATCCCCCACATCATACTTACAGAATTAACAAAAATCTGAAATTTAATGAAAACAAGTGTGATAACGAGCAGCCGCTACGTCAAGACCGTTCATAGTGGATTATGCGCCCCAACGCCCCCACCTAACGGAAGTGAGTTCTGAAGAAAACGCGAAAAAACCTTTACCTCAATAGGCATCAAGTAAACAGATTAATCGCTTTCAGAGATGCTTACAAGCTTCCCTAGTCATTGACAAAGAGATAAGTAACCGGTCAATCGAGAAAAACAATACGGACTACAATCCAGTAAACAGCTTCCGCGTTCAACATGTATACGGTAATTGGACAAATTGCTTTTTCAGGCATATCAGCTTGCTTATTCCAGATTATATCATGCGATTTCTAATCACCTTGGAATGAATAACCTTCTTGCAAAATATCCAAATTTCACAAGTTGCAGAAGACCTGGCCTACCAGGGGCACCAGGAGTTATCCATCAGCACAAGGCTACAAGTTGGGGTTCGATGCCCCACTGGAAATCCTCTTTCTAGTGAACTGAAGTCGTGGGAGGTATTTGTCTTCACCTGGTCTGCTGACGTGGGCAGAATCTAGGTGACCCTTTTAACGTGCTCCTAACTGATTACGTTTTGCAGAGCCTCGTGGGTACAACGGCCTTTCCTCTTTACTTCCGCATACCTTACTCAATTTAAACCTGGTGACCATAGCTACGAAATAATCACCCC